TTACTGTGGAACCGGTGGGCGGTTAGAAAATTTTACTACTAACTGAGATACAAAAGTGGGCGGTAGGTATAAAAATGTTGAGTACCCCTGGTTTAGAAGATATATTTTGTTTTGTTAGGCACCATTACATTTGTATATTTGTATTCATGATTATATTAATAAAAATAATGGTAGAAATCGATTTAAAAACATTTATTTGTAGAGGAAACGATCATGCCACATAGAACATGCCTGTTTTCCTGATGAAATGCCTAGACAGGAAGAGAAGAAAAATCTTCATGCACCAGTGGCTGCTGCTTCGATTTCAGATACCTGGCATCATTGTGGTGATGGATTTCAAATTTCATCTTCATTGGAGGTTAATATTTTATGTTTTCGTATAGGAGAGATGATTCTTAATTGCTTAGTTACATGGATTTTCTTTCTTTATCCATTTCCCCATAGCTTTCCAAACTCTTATAGTAGCTGTTTTTGGCATCCACTTCACTTTGTTCATGTTCATTTTTAAGTAGGTTCCCAAATCACAAGTAAACATTCTGATTTCAGTATTAATTGTAAATCAGGCCTAAATGCAGTACCCTTGAAAACTACTTGAAAATGCCAAATTATGCAGGGTGCTGTTTCAAAGCCAATATAAGTGTTTTTTTTTCTGGTGTCACTATTAGCTTTTTAGGAGCATGTTAGTGACTGCACTCCAAATATTTTTGAGGAGAATCAAAACAAAAGCTTATTTTTATTGTATTAATATGCCATGTATGCCTATAAGATCAAATTTATTATTTACTTGGATGTAACCATCTGGCAGACCTGCTGCGTATTAGCAAGACATGACTAGGTGAAGGCAGTAATACCATCCTGTTGGAGATTTGCTCAGCTGGGTTTTGAGTTTTGCAGCAACTGCAGGCTCAAAACCAAGGGTGGGTTGTATTACTCTTATGGAACTTTCTTGTGACGGGGCAAATGGCTAGATGCAAGTACTTATAATCTAATTAAGCATTAAAACCAATAGGGTATCTTCCCTAATTTACTAGCCATTCTGGGCTGGTATTGTAGTCCCTTCAGTTTTTTTGTGATGGGTAGCTTCAATTCTTCATATCTTCAAGCCAAGTGTAGAAAAGGCCTAGAGTTCATGGCCTCCAATGACAACTGCAGGGTTTTCTCAATAATTTTTCGTACATACAAGTGGTCATACATTAGCATTCTGGAAGGCCTTGAAACTCTTCAAAAGGTAAGCGAGGAGGATGCTTGGCCAGGTGGGGTGGGAATCAGGCCTAAGTCCTGGGAGAACTGAGTGGAAGTGAGAAAAGACTGAGGGAACCCAAGGAGAAGGAAGAGCATGGGGATCTTGGAATTTGACATTTGACATTTTTTTGACATTTTATTAAGATTTATAGGCCGCCCTTTTCCCTGAGGGGNAAGTTTGAAGACCTCTGCTTTCAGCGTATAGAACGATAAGACAACAGCATTGTCAGAATTGAGTGGCTTTGTAGGAGTTGATTTGGTTGCTTTGGCGAATGAGAGCTGCAATGACTTCAAAAATACTGTTTTAGAAGGAAATTGGTATTAAAATAATTATCCTCTTTAATTTTGATTCTGGTCCTATATTCTCTAGGGGTTGGGACCCTCCTGGTGTGCTTACAGGCTACCTAAATAGCTCTGTGTATGGAGAACAGTGATAGTAAAATTTGTTGCATATGAAATAACAAAAAGCAGAAGAAGAAGACAACTATTTTGTACTTTGTATAAAAGTTCAGAAAAAAAATGTTGTGAAAGACTTCAGGGATAATGTTTAACTCTACAACTATGGTTTAACCCTATGGTTAAAATAAAATTAGGCGATATTCAGAGGTGATTGAATTTTTATTGGTCCATTCTGATAACAAAAACAAAAAGGCATTATGTTGCTTAGTCCTGTGTATATGGCCCTGTGAGTCTAGTGCCAGACTAGCATGGATGATGTTACCTAGTTTGTGTAATGAAATGTCTGCAGGAAAACAAAAAAAAAGTATCAAGGACCCCTCATTTCAACCGTATGCTACAAATATTCTCCTTTATTGGTATACGGTTCTGTCTCCTCCCAATATTATTTTTCACATTGCTTCCTTTAGTAGAGTAAAAAATTCCAATGATCTGCAGATCATTTTACAGATTGTCAAGGCATGGTTCAGGTGATTGTAGCCTTTTGAATCTATGTAATTAATAATGTTATCATTATTTAAATTTTGGCTCAAAGTACAATACTTTGTAACTTTATCTTAACAGTAAAACTATTTTGTTATATTTATTAGATTTTTATCCCACCTTTATTACTTCTATAAGTAATTCAAGGTGGCAAACATACATATAACACTCCTTCCTACCTACAACAGCCCTGTGAGATAGTTGGGCTGAGAGAGTAACTGGCCTAGGGTCACCCAGCTGACTAAAGTGGCACTACAACTCAGTTTCCTTTTTTTCCATAGGCCCCTGTTCTGACCCCCTCCGTACGATGAGTCACACCGACACAAGGTTACTGTTAGCCAATGTATTCACAGTAATTACTCACAGGCAAGACTTTGGCAGCAACTCAGACTCCCACAGATAAGAAATACACGCAAGAGCTTATCCAGCTTTAGTATAACGGTTGTGTCCTGCAAAAGGTCTCCTCCCAAAGTCTCTTCTTATATACTCTC